CTCTGATCCACTTGCTTCCCAAGCTGCAGCAGCCTCTGTCTGCTTGTGGAACAAGCCCACGATGGCAGTCACGTGGCTGGGGTCCTCCTGGCTTCTGTAGTGTCCCCTGCCCAGTGACCCCGCGGAACCTCTTGCTGTCTGCTGCTCACCCAGGCCTCCTCTGCTCCTCCCTGCCCGCTCCCTGTCCACCAGCTCTGTTTCCAGTACTGAGGATTGAACCCAGGTGCTTCACACTGAGAGGCATCCCCTGCCTTTTATATTTTTATTTTAAAACTTTTCTAGCTAAGTCACTACATTGCCCAGAGTGGGCAACCCTCCTGCATCAGCCTCCCAGAGTGCTAGGATGATAGGCTTGCAACACCACACCACCGGCTTCCTTTCTTCTCTTTGCTCAGAAGACCTGCAGCTGGAGCTGACACACACTCACTGGGCTAAGCCCTGGCTGTCACATGGCGCCCCGTCAGAAAGCATCCTGTTCCTGCCAGCGACCATGTTCAGAGGAACATGGAGCCGGCTCTGTGTCGGGCCCTGTCCTCGGCGGTGGCACCTACTCTTCCATTGACTGCTCCCAGGGGAAAAGGCCGAGGTGGCCTCGAGGAGGAGCCCATGGTGGCTGCAGGGTGCTCACTAACCAGAGGGCAGGCACCTGAGTCCCCACGACAGTCGTTCTCCCCGTGGCCCTCACCGGAGGGCGGCCTCCCTTTCCCAGGATCCTAATGAGGCTGACGCTGAGCAGAAGGAGACTCTGGCCTTTGTCACCTTCTATCTTTTCGTGTTTTTAATCAAACCACCTGGGTCGTGCCCCTGGGAGCCAGTAGAGTGGTGCAGCCTGGAATGGGCCACTGCCTATGCCTCGGAACCTCCCGTCTTGCTGGGGCCACTGCCAGACAGGCTCTCCCTCCGCCCTTCTTCCCCCTCTCTCTTTTCTGTCTGTCTCTCCTCTCACCCAGGTGAAGACCAGCTGCTAACCCAGCTGGGCAGATCTCACATTGTCTCCAGCGATGCTCACCCTGTTTTTGTTGCAGATTTGAGTCCCCGACTTCTGAAGGGCAACGGCGGACATCAGAGCCAGTGAGTGGGACAGCTCGGGCAGAGAGGACATTCTGGGGCCAGGGGGAGTCCACAGGGGCTGCAGAAGGTAGCCCCAGCCCACCCAGGCTCAGATCCCGGGGCAGAGGAGGACAAATGGGGAAGCCCCTGGGACCTCACCACGGGGCCTGCATCTGTGACTCGTTTCTTTACTTGTAAAATTCATGATCCCCGACTCATGCCCCACCGCAATTAGATTCCATTCCTGTAGTACTTTAAAGCACTTTACATTTTGTTCATTTTGATGAAGACTGGCCCTCAAAACTTAAAAAATAAGCTGGGCATGATGCCACATGACTGTAAACCCAGCCCTCGGGAGGCTGAGGCAGGAGAATCACTGTGAGTTTGAGGCCAGCCTGGGCTGCACAGTGAGCTCAAGGCCAGAAGTGCATAGTGAGACCCTGTCTCCAAAACAAATTTTTTTTAAATAACAGCTTTCGTTTCTGAATTTCCAGTGGGAGATTCCATCTCTCATCAAACCCTTCTAGCCACCCTCAGGTGCAATGGGCACACTGTGAAGATCGAACCACTGGAGGGGCTTGGCCACTGTGTGGAGAAGACTCACTATGTAAAATATTAAGTCTGAACACCCGGAGCCCCAGCACCTCCAGGGGGCTGGGCCACCCTCAGACACGCGATGCAGCGCCTGACCCCGCGAGGCCGTGCCCTGGATACACGGCCTCATGGAGAAGGTGACAAGCTGCCACAGGAAGGGAGTTTGTCCCGGAGCGCCCTTCTCAAGGGAACAGGTGACTGTGGGAAGGCCGGCCCTGCCCCACAGCCCTCCCAGAGCCAGGGTGTCCCACGCAGGACTACAGGCCACGCAGACGCCAGTGCCTGCCCATTGAGACTGAGAGCACTCGCCCGTCCTCGACAGCAGCTCCCCCTTCCTCTCCTGTGTCAAATCTTACTTTCTGGTGGGCACTGGTGGTGGAGCTGTTAAGAGGTCCACACATCATCTGACGAGTCCCCTTTTCCTTAGGAGCCCTGATCACAAGTTTAAGGTATGGGGAGGGCTCTGTTTGTGTGTGTGTGCGCGTCAATGCCTAAATTTTCTTCTGGAGAACATGTTCCATGGGGTGATTCATCCTGTTTCACACTTGGGGCTGATGAAATATTTCTCCAATCAGCAAAGAGCCCAAGGCCCAGTGCCTTTCTTATCACCTCCTGATAGCCGTTTGCAGCCCATAAAGCCAGGCGCACACTCCCTGCAGAGAAAACAGCACCTGGGCTCCTTGGCCGGAGTGAAGCTGTTTAGTTACCCGTGGCTCAGTGCAGCCTTTGTTCCGCACCCCCAGCATCTGAGCAGATGCACAGCTGGGGGCCCTGGCTGGACGTGCATTTCCCATTTCCCAGGGTTTCTTTAGCCCCAGTGATGGTTTTCCTGGAAAAGCAGCCAGCGGTGCTAATCTCAGTGTTTTCCTGAAATGCAGCTGCTGCGGAAACAGTTTTGGTCAAGCAACCCAGACAGGCACTAAGAGCATTCGCGTCGTTATTTCTAAGTGACGAGGAATAGGAGAGCTACAGAACCAGTGTGGCCTGTGCTGAACGCTCCTGAGCGCTTTTCAAATTTTTGCTGAGAATCCAGTGAGCCCTTACCTGGTTTTCATGCACAAAACAGGGTGCAGCACTATTGCTGCAGCTCAGAGGTGACTCTTGGACAAGAACCTGTCACTTCCTGAGGCCCTGACCGTGTGCAGGACATACACCAGCCATCGGACCTTTTCCCTCATCTGTACCAGATTTGTGTGATCCTGGGACCTGAAGACAGCACAGCAATTTCACCACTAGGCCAGAGGCCAAGTGAAAGAAGAGGTGGGCCCAGCAGTCCCTGGGAGCCCACCCAGGCCCAGAAATGGAGCGCATGGGAACGGGACGTCTTCCGGGGCAGGTGGATTCAGGAGTGCTTCCTCTTGGGACTGCTTTACCCCAGACGAAAACGGGAGAGGGCTTCTGAAAGGCCTTTGCAAGCAGCCAGCCAGCGCCTCCCAGGCTTTCCTCACCCTCTGTTCCCCCAGCCCCATCCACCCCGCGGGGCCTGGGTCGCCCCCTCCCACAGCAGCTGCCCCAGACACCCCCCTCCAGTGAACTCGCGCAGGACGTGAAGCAGGCCACGGCCCCCACTCGGCGTGTCCAACAAGATCAGGTTTTGGTTGGTGGAGTCCTGAGGTGCTGTCAGCCTCACACTCCCTGTGGTGGCGGCCACAGCACGAGGAAGGAGGCAGGGCCCTCCGTGTCGTGTCCCCACCTGTAGTTGTGCCATCACCCCCACGTGTAGCTCACCAGTCAAACTGAGGCAAGGAGCTCCCCAGCCTCAGCCTGATCTAGAGATTTTAGGGAAAGAAATCCTGACGATTCCTTAACGATCTCTAACGACATCCAGGCCATCACAGGGCCGGGGCCACTCAAAAGCAGCCAACTAGAGAGCTGGCCAGGCCAAGGAAGCAGAGTCTGCGGGGTCAGCCAGCTGGTACAACAGACCCCATCCTTCAGAGGGTGGCAAGGCGGTGATGGGCATGTTCAGATGGGGGCTTCCTCGTCTGCGGCTGTGCCCCTGGTGCCCGGTGCCATGCTGGGCTCAGGTAGGTGCTCAACAAACACTCTCAGATACTGAGCTGCCTCCAAAGCTCCACAGCATCTTGTAACATGAGCTGTGTCGCTGATTCGATTTTAAGCTCTCTCTGTGGGGCACGAGTTTGTCTGATCTTCCTGTGCTGTGCTCAGCCCTAGACCTGGCACAGGAAGAGGAAAGCCACCACCCCAGTCTCTGTCCGAAGGGCTCTTGGCTAGAGCAGGGATAAAAGCATAAAGGGGATGAGAAGGGAACCAATAAAGGTTTTCTCCTAGGAAAGGAGATCTGATCTGGGCCTTAAGGAGAGTGGATCCCACGAGGAAAGGAAAAGTCAGCCACTCATACTGAGAGGCCCGGTGAAAAAAGTATAGTTCAATCCTGGTTTTCACCTGGATTAAATGGCTAGACTTAGAGGGCCAGACAGTAATATTTTAGGCTACATATAAATCCTGCCATGTATTTGGTGTGTGCCTGTGTGGGTTACGTCCCTTTAAAAATGTCAAACCTATTCTTAGCTCACAGGCCATATAAAAACAAAAGCAAACTAAAGCACACCCACTAAGATGACTATGATAAAAAGAGAGATAATAACAAGTGTTGGGGAGGATGTGGACAAGTGGGAACCCTCTTCCATTGCTTGTGGGAATGGAAAATAGTGCAGAGTTTGTGGAAAACAGCCTGGAAGAAGTCAGACAGTTACCATCTGAGCCAGGAATTCCACTCCTAGCTGTATTTATATCCACGAGAATTAAAAGCATATGTCCACACCAGAACGTGTGCATGTGTGTTTCTATCAGCATTATTTATAATATCCAAATGTTTATCAAATGATGAATGGATAAATAAAATGTGGTTCTCCTTCTAATGGAATATTATTTAGTCACCAAAAGGAAGATGTATTTAAAAAACAAAGAACAAAAAAAAGCGGGGAGTGGTAGTGTATGCCTGTAGTACCAGCATGCAGGAGTCTGAGGCAGGAGGATTGCCATGACCCTGTCTCAAAAAGCCAAAACAAGCAAACAAAAAACAAAAACAAAAAAGGAAGATGTTCTGATACATGCTACAACACGTTAGATAAAGCTTGAAGGTGTTATGCTGAGTTGAACCCAGACACAAAAGACTACAAGTTGTAGGGCACCATTTGTATGGACCATCTGGAACATGCAAAGCCGTGGATGAGCAGCGGATTAGTGGGTCCCTGGGCTGGCGGGCCGGGGCCAGCCAGCGTGGGTGACAGCAGGGGAACATGTCGAACACGCTCAGGCTCAGACGGTGATGCTGAAGAGCTGCAGAATTGTGCACTTTGAAAGTGCAAACTCTATGGCACACACATTATGGCTCGATTTTTCAAGTGTTTAGTGAGGTTTTAAAAAATAAAGGCAGAGGGCCATAGTTTGGCGAGCCCCAGGTCAATGAATGAAAGGAGCAGCAGGAGGGACTGTACCACGGAACTTTCTGTGACCATGAAGCTTCTGTGAGGGCTGGGACTTGGTTCCGAGCAATGGAGAGGAGCCACTGAAAGCAAGCGTGGAAGGAACACCACTGAAATGCCAGCACCAGAACCGCAGGCAGGGAGCTGCCAGGTGCTGCCATCACATCACGGGAAGCAGGAGAGCCTGGACTTGGGAGCAGGACGGGAGGACCGGGAGGGTCCCAGGGCCAGCAGGTGGCCGTCAGTAGGCTCGGGAATGGCCAGTCCTGAGTGTGAGGGACAGGGCCCAGGCGGGTTCTGGATTAGGGACAGCAGTGGCTTACTCGTGGGGCCATGTGGCTAACAAGGGTGCATCTCTCTCCAGAGTGGCTCCGGCTGCTGAGGGGACACCACGGGGCAGCACCATCTCCAGGAGAGAGCAGCTCAGCTCGGTGTCTGCCAATACCAAAAAGCAGAGGCTGCGGCTTAGAATCAGATCTGAGAGCGAGGAGTGCGTAAGAAAGCACACAGGCCGGCCAGGGGACAGAGTGGCAGGGCCTGAAGGGCGAAGGGTGGGAACGTGGGCTCAGCTACAGTCATGGGACAAGGACGGGGTGAAGAAGGGACAGGCAGGAGGACGGGGATCAGCAGGGAGGCAGGGCCCAGGGGGAGGGCTCCTAAATAAGGGGCACCCAGCACTAGGAGGATTTAGAGGAGGACTCCTGGCAGTGTATCTGTCACTCTCATTTTAAAATTTAAATATTTATCATATTTTTTCAATTATAGTGTCTAGGATTATGGAGGTACATTTGTGTCAGGGGTGAATTTTATCAGAACCAGAAACTTGGGGCCAGGGATTTAGCTCAGTGGTTCCACTACCTGCCTTGCAAGTACAGGTCCCAAGTTCGATCCCCGATACCAAAAAAACAAAAAAAACTTGGATGTTACACAAAAGATGTGTCCATCTTTTAGGCTCATCTCTTTGTGTCACTGTGACCGTCGGTTTTCTGTGTCTCTACGCGGTTACACAGTTAGTGGGACCACGTTGCTGTGAGCACATTTGGTAGATGTGGGTCTATGCACCCACAATGGGTCGGCTTGAAATGGAAGGGGTTACTCCTGATTGTGTGAGGGTCTTCTCCAGTGAACTGGAGCCCTAAGAGAAAAAACTGAGATCCCCAGAGGAGAAATTCTGCCTCCAGCTGGTGGCTACGGCCACGCTGGAAGGACAAGGGGGATCCTGGGTTTATAGGGTCCTGAGTCTCAGGTGGGGCAGATGAGGAAGTTCTGAGGGTCAGTGGTGGTAATGGTTTCATCAGAGTGTAAGTGAACTCAATGCCCCCAGACGACACACTTGAAACATGCCAAGAATTACAAATTTTATATTATGTCCACTTTACCACTCCTATGGTCCAAATGCTTATGCCCCCTCAAAGGTGGATGTTGAATCCTAACCCTCAATGTGCCTGTGTTAGCAGGCAGGGAGGAGGGAGACAGTGGCTGGGATGATGTCCTCGTCCCGGGTCCCCAGGGACCTTCAACCACATGAGGACACAGCAAGAAGGCGCCAGCAGGTGAGCAACACTCACCAGACACTGGGGGAATCTTAGTCTGCTTTGACCATGGACTTCCCAGTCTCCGGAGCTGTGAGAAATAAATTTGTTATTTATAAGCTACTTATCGTATGGTATTTTGTTTTAATCACAACTAAAAACAAAACAAACCCTTCCAAAGGAAGCCTCATCTCCTACCTGAAATCTGGCCTGTTTTGCAGATTTTAGACTTGCCAGTGCCCACAAGCATAATCAAGCCAATTTCTCCCTACAATGTATCTCCTGGTTCTGTTTCTTTGGAGAGCCTCGACGGATACATAGTGACAGTGTCTAATTCTTGAAAGTTAGACACTAGCCATTAGCCATTTGGGAGCCATCCAAAGTTGGTAGAATGCCATTTCCTTTGTATAATCAGGTGTCCTGGTCAGTCTGGGCTCCTGCTCCCCCTGTCTACCTTCTTCCCTTACCCTAGGTGGGATCTGGATTCAGGTGTGCTCTACACAGTGTCTCAGGCAGAAATGTGCACTTGGTCCAGTGATCCGCTGTCTGTTGTGGTCTTGCTGAGATTAACTCGTCCCACCAGGACAGTCCCACCCTTCCTGGTGATGGCATCCAAAAGGCCACAGGCCCTCCAGTCCTCAGTAACAAAATCTGAGGCTACTTGTGGTCCTTCCTCCTTGCAGCCACTCGAGTGTCCCTGTCATGTGGATGGGACTCTTGTCTGATTCCTGTCACTGGGTGTGTGGGACCCTGGAAGGCTGCCCTCCAGCTCCTCTACACAAATACCTTCCATCAGCATTGATTCAGGGGCTTCTCAGCAAGGCCATCACCCTCCAGGGCCAGGAGGAAGCAGGGTCAGGGGAAGGTGTTTCTAGGGTTGAAAAGCCAAGCGTAGAATGTGTATGGCACAGGAAAGATACACAGCACTGCCAGAAAATTCTTAGCTTCCAAAAGGCCCAAATCTTTCCTTTGTGTGTTAGTCAGCTTCTTATCCCTGTGACAAAATGTCTGAGAAAGTCAATGGGATAAGCAGAGGTTCATTCTGGCTCATGGTTTCAGAAGTTTCAGTCCATAGTCGGCTGGCCAATAGTTTTGGGTCATGATGTGCAACAAAGCGACTAATCATGGTGTCCAGGACGCGGTAAGAGAGAAAGAGGCGGGGCTTGGGTCCCAATATCCTCTCCAAGGCCATGCCCCCTATGACCTTACTTCCTCCCACTAGGCCCCACCTCCTAAAGATTCCACCATCTCTTTTTTTATTTGTTTCTTTTTTTGGTACCTGGGACTCCGGACCTTCTACTCGTGAGGCAGGCGGTAGAACCACTGAGCTAAATCCCCGACCCGCCACCATCTTTCAATAGCTCCACAGATGGGGACCAAGCCTTCAGCACCTGGGCCTTCCGGGGGACATTTAAGATCCAAACCGTAGCATTCTGAGAAGCAGTGTGTGCAAAGAACCCAGGATTAGCAAGCAGAGGCCTAGTTTTCATCTCCTTCGCCCACGCTCGACATGACCTGGGATAGGTTCCTTAAGTGTCCCAAGCACCCCCCCCCCCCAAGAACACCAAGAATGGGTGGTCTGCCGGGTCTGAGGCTGGGTCTCCTTAGAGTATCTGGCCAGAATCTGCCAACGCACATTCAGAAACCTTCTCTAGATAGATGCACATTAACACAACTCGCGGAAAACAAATTACTAATTAATAAAAGCGTCTACCCGTAATAAGATCCGCCAAGTGAACACTTCAGACAGGATTCCCGGGTTGTTCCATCCCCGGAGTTTCCTTCCTAATGCTGCTCACTGTGTTGGAAACATCAACCTCCCTGGCTGCGGGGGTCGGGAGGCCTGGACTTGAAGGATCAGCCTGGTGGTTCACCAGCCAAGAGGAAGACGAAGAAGCAGGCGGCCGCCCTGCAGGCCACAGGAGGGGCCGAGTGACAGGGCAGGAGCGGAGCCAGAGGAGCTGGGCCCGTCCGGATCCGAGCGGAGAGGCCGCCGCCCTCGCCTCCCCTCCGCTCCCGCCCAGCCGCATTCCAAGGGAGGCGGAGACTGAAACCAATTGTTCCCGCCCGGATGGGGCAAACGTGGCCCTGACCTTCAGCTCCGGTTCTTCCGGGACTTCCAGGAACCCGAAGGCCTGGCTGGGTAAACAGAGAAGGCGGCGGAAGGGAACACAAAAGAAACTACTGGGGAGTTAATTGCATGTAAATCTCATTGCAAAATCCACATTGTCTTCAAAAATTCTTAAACCACCTGAACGTGTAGTAAATTCCAGGGGGCCTGCAGGGTGAGGACCCATCTGTCCTTATCAGCGTTGGGTGATTTCTGAGTTCCGAGTAAATTATCTTGTGATTTACTGTGTTTTCGTTTTCAATTCCACTTTCTTTCTTTTTTTTTCTTTTTTTTTTAAACTTACTACTATTTCAAAAATGTTTCTATTTGTCAAGTCACATATACTTTTTGCGGCTGTGCACATAGCCTACATCCATCTTCCCTTTCAAGAAGATAGATTCTTTTCCATGATATAGTCCAAAGAAATATCTTCCTTCCTCATCTGAAGAAAAGATTTTTGAAATCTCTTAGACCTCAAAGAACAAAAGGATGACCACGTCTTTTTATTTTTTAGATAAAAATGCAATTTATTTTATTTTATTTTTATTTTTTTTGGTACCAGGGATCAAATTCAGGTCCTTGCGCTTGCTAGGCAGGTGGCGAAACCACTGAGCTAAATCTCTGGCCCAAAATGCAATTTATATTTCTCATTTCCAACCATGGAGTTCTTCAAGATGTAGCACAAATTTAGCTTCCACAGGATGGTTGCATTTATCCGAGAGGCTGTCTGTCTTAAGATGGAGCGCGTGGCTTCCGTAACAGTCCCTAACGTGGACAGCAAGCATGCTGTGTCGACACCCCTGGGAAACTTCGAGAGCTGCTGTGGCCGGCCGAGCTCCAGCACCCGCCTGTTCATCACCTCCGGCACCTGGACTTCTCAGGAGGTGCTAGGAGCGAGTTCCTTGTCCTTAGGCGGACAAGGGAACCCCAGGCACTTTTTGCTCCGAGAGCTACTGGTCAAAAAGCGGTGTCTGCACCTGAAGCTGTAACTTTCTTACAAGATGGCAGCAAACTCGGACCAGGTGTGCAGCTCAGTGGCATTCACCTGGCAGGCGCGAAGGCCTGTAAAATAGTCATTGTAATAATAATACTCAAAGTCAGTGATGGAGGATTCGCATTCAGAGGGTGTTTCAGCTGTCGGAAGAGCGGAAGTAGCTTCCTCTGTGCCATTCCTTGCTTACCAAAAAAATGTTTGCAGCCACTGTGAGACCAAAGGGGCTCCCAGTGAGTGCTTTCCTCAAGCAGGCAGAATAAACACCCCTGCCAGGAAAGTCAGCGTGGTCCTGACCGCCAGGAATCTGCTGACAAAGGCCGTGTCCCCTCTGTCCACGCTGAAGGCTCAGTGGTTAGGCCAACAGGAAGTGCCACAAGTGTCCCCGGGGGCTGGGTTTCAGAAGGCTTTGGGTGTTGTTTTGGGCAGAGAAATGGAGTGTCGAGACAGGCAGAGGATCAGAATTTCCAGGTCCTTCTAACCACAGACCTAATTCTGCACCTGTCCCTCCACGCCCAGGCCGGCGTGTCACGTGATACGGCCACAGGAGAAGCTCCAACCCCAACAGCAGGTGTCTGCCGGGATCTGGGCAGGTATCTTGAGTAGGACGCAATCAGGATGCCTGCTTGAGGACGATCACTTGGCCTTCTCCTTCTGGGACCTACTGATGAATGCCCTAGAATTTGGCCTGACCCAGCGCCGTAATTTTATGTTAGTGGCAGAGGCAGGCGTATAGCCTAGCTGATATGAAGAGCCCAGCAGTGCGTTAACCAGCTGTGTGCCGGGAGCCACCCAGGTGCATGTCCTGGGCCTGCTCCTGGGGAAATGACCAGGGCTCCCTGACCCTCAAAGCCCCTTCATTTCTAATGTGTGCAGGACCCTGGTTTCCGTTGCTAATGTCAGGAACAGAACCAAGGATGCTACCTGGAGTCCTGCGTCAGTCGGAATAAGGATGCTGCTGATGCATTCGTTCTGAAAGCAGATCTTGTTTCAAAAAGTGAGCAAATAAGATCAGAACATCACTTGTGGGAAAACGGATGCATCTGGAGACCATCATGCTGAATGCTATAAATCAGGCACACAAGCTTCAACATCACATGGTTTCTCTTACATAGGGAACCCAAAGCATAAATAAATTAAAGGGCAAAATAAAAGATAATGCGAAACGGGGAGGTTGATCTTTTGCAAATGGGAAAGGGCCCGAGAGGTGGAGGGAGGGGAAAGGGGGAGAAGGGGAAGGGAAGGTAAAAAGAGTTGAGGTGTGCGTTGTACATGTACCAATCCTCCCAATGAGTGCATTCATTCTGTACTGCAGACATGGACTAATAACAATGTTTAAAATGTTTTAAAGTTAGATCATGATAAGCACCCATCTGGAAGAAGGGTGCTTCCAGCCCCCACTGACCCACCTGCAGGTCTGCCTCCATTCCAGCAGAAGGTAGCACTGGGTCCGCCCAGAGTTTTTAAATCAGAGATAGATGCAAAGTAGAAACATATAGGACTTCTAGTGAGAGTCCAGTTGAGTCTCTCACCCACGATGCTGTTTGTCCCTCAGGAATAAACACTGTGGGACAGCTTGGTGGCCTGTGTCTCCCGAAAAACAGGTCTGTTTTCTTTTGCAAGACAAAGCACTCTTTGCCACCCATTGCTCCTCTGCTCTGCTACTCAGAGAATTCAGAGTAGATGCCTGGGTCCAGCCGCACTTTACCCAACCCCAGAGCATAACCCCAACCCCAGAGTGTAAATGTACCCATCCCTTCTTTCTTATTTTAATAATTTTACTGATATTGATTTTTTTTTTAGATCTATTTGGTTGGCAGTTTTAGGTAATAGAAAAACTAAATAGAGGGTAGAATATTCCCATCCATGGCTCCCTGGCTACAGTTTCCTTCTCAGTAACATGGTGCTTGAGTGTGGTATGTATGGTCCAATTCTGAGCTAGTGTTGGTACTTTATTATTAACTAGGCCCGAGGTTCACCACGGGATTCATTCTTGGTGTATGCTCTATGGGTTTTGACAAATGCATGAGGACCGGTGTCTACCACTCCAATATACAGACTAATCCCTGCTCTGAAACTCCCCTGTGAGCCACCTCCTGTCCCTCTCTGCCCCCTGTGGATCTTCTAGCTATCTCCATAGCTTTTGCATTTTCCAGAATCTCCTATAGTTGAATCATACATTACATCTGCTTTTTGGATTTTTGTGTTTGAGGTTCCTCCTTGTCTTTTTGTGATATGATGTTTGATTCCTTTTTCTTGCTGAGTAATATTCTGTTGCCTAGATTTACCAGTTTGTTTCTTCCATTCTTTTCTTTGGAGGGAGGGGGTGAGACAGGGTCTTGTTATGCAGCTCAGGCTGCTCTTTAACTCACTATGTAGCCCAGGCTGGCCCAGAACTCTCAGAGATCCTCCTGCCTCAGCCTCCCAAGTGCTAGGATTACAGGCCGTTCTTCCATTCTTACTGAAAAACATCTTGGTAGCTTCCAATTTTGGGCAACTTTGAATAAAACTATTATTCTTACTGGTTTTTATTTTTATTATTTTACTATCTGCTGCCTTAAAATCCTTTGGGAAGAATATAAATTACTATGCTACATTATTATTATAAATCATCACTATGAACAATAATTATAAATTAATATATTATTCCTATATTATATAGTTCTATTATAGTATTATCAAGTGATGTTGAAATATGATTAAAGCGTTGTTCACAGGGTATTGATTTTTAAAGAAACCTGCCAATTGGAAACAAATTCGCCAGTTCTGGCTAAAGGAATGAAAACATGCAGGCCCCCTGGTACCTGGAGGGTTGAGAGAACTGTCAAGCTCTTTAACTATGACACGGACCCAGTGTTTAGGTAAAGAGCGCAGCAGGGTTTATTTCAACATGTGCAAAAATTACAGAGACCAAAATATTCTCTTTCATCCTGTATGGAATACCGGCGTAAACCCCTTTGCATTAGAAATTAGCCACCGGAATTGCACTTTCTGGTCTTTATGACTCTGCAGAAGTCCCATTACGTAACTGATCATTTTTATCATGAGCAGCACCTTCTAATTATACCCTTAGTGTGGACAGCGTGTCTGTAAACCAGGGCTATAAAGGAGCAGGAGATCTTTGGGGTTCATAGATTGGGTTAAACTTGCCTTCTTCAATATCCAAGCAAGCAAGTGCTGGGACTTGACCACAAGGCAAAAGTGTTTTTAATTTTTCTTTTTATAAAGTTAAAACATAAGTTTTAAATATTTCTGGCCAAGTAGTGTTACGGGCTTATTACAAGGCAGAAACTCAGCCTTCCCCAACCACTTCCCCTGGGTACTTTCAACTCTTAGCAAATTATGCTGCTAAATGTCTTCAATATTTTTAACTACAGTTGGTCCTCTGTACCTACGGGTTCTAGGTCCACAGATTCAAACAACTGCAGATCAAAAAATTTGAAAACAATGTTGCATCTATATTGAACATGGACAGACCATTCTTCTTGTCTTTATTCCCTAAACAATACAATGTAGCAACTCTTTCTTCAGCACTTACATTGTAGTAGGAATTATAAGGCATTTAAAGATGGTTTAGACATAGGCTGGTGTGTGTAGGTTCTAAAGAAATACAACACCATTTTTTACAATGAATTTGAGCATTGCAGACTTTAATATCCGTGAAGCCTCCCAGAAGCAATCCCATGTGGACTTATAGCTGAGGATTTCATGTGGTTGCCCCTACCCCGTCTTCCTAATATACCAACAGCATTATTTTTGGTGATATCAGTATTTATATGATCAAACCATGTAAATATAATGTGCTGATGATTCAGATAACAAATGGTGATTATATTTCTCATACAATTTTCTGTTTGTCCCAAAGTTAGTAGTTGCCTCCTTTCTGGATTTACTTGGTGTCGCTTGTACCTGGCCCCATGTATTAGACCA